AAGTGTGACCTCGTTACATATAATCCTGTTGAAAAGGTTTTGTGGTGGTGAGTTTTTAAATCAGGATATTTCTTATAGTGACAAAGAATGCTTTATATTCATATTGCTCAGGGTATCTCAAAGCTGAGGAAGACGCTAGAAACAAGTATCAGCTTTTCTAGGTAGTTTTTCTAAACGCTTGAACTTACAGTTTCAAGTAAAAATAGGTGTTTTTATGGTAAGCAGAAATGCATTGGCCTAACTAGGTGTATTTTTTTTTTAATGTTTTCACTTACACGTTTTTTTTGTTTAATTGCTAAAGTTAATTATGAAAATAATGGAATGTCTGAATCATACATTCTCGTTTTTATTATTATAAAATAATAGGCCTTTTATAATTTAGCAATTAACTGAAACCTGAGCCTGTATTACCTGTTAACTTCAAAGAAGGAATTAAAGCAGGAAGCAGAGCATTTAATTCAATCCCAAGTAAATTATTAAACATCCTCCATGTACTAATTAGTCTTTCTCTTGCTCTCATTCCTCAAAGCATGTCGGCCGTTAACACCATTATCATAATGCTGTCTAGGATTCTTGTATTTAAGCCAGGAGAGATTTGTTAGATATTCCCATTTCCAAGAACTTGAAGACGAAATCCCAAAGAGCTCATGGAACATTCTGTATTTTATTTTTTAGGTTAGACTTTACTAGTGTAACTCAAAAACTATTATGAAGTTAATGTGGCAAACACCAGATAAAATGTGCGGTTTCAGTGTAAGTTACAGAAACAAGACAGTTTCTAAGTATTAAAATATGGGGTATTTCAGAGATAATTGTGTGAAAGGAACCACTGGCCTATGCCTAGTATGTATTTGGAGACAAAGCAGATCTGCTATTTCCAGTTCAGTAAGTCTGCAAAGAGTGAAGGTTCCAGTCAGATCATTGAAATTGTCTAATAGGGGCCAAACTTGCTTCGTATGGGATTCTGATTATTGTGTTGAGTTGAATTCAGCTGTTGCATGTCAGGTACGAGGAGAGAGGTCCTTTATGTGGTGACAGACCATTGTTACAGCCCACTACCCAGTCCTCCTGAGAGTCACGAACTAGGTGGGTGTGGTGCCCACGGGAAGTCTGAGATGGTCCCACTGCTTCTGCCTTTCTGCATGTTGTCTTACCCCATCTCTTCACCTTGGGTAAAATGGGCCCCCAAGGAGTATACGAGCTGAGGAATGCCCACTGTTATAAAATTGCATTTGGCTTACTTGAACACCTTCAGAATTTTGCCCAAAGGAATCTTTAGACTAGCCCGCCACCTTGATGTTTTAATGACATTCTCTACATTAAAAATTCTCAAGACTTAGGTTAGAATTATCTGGGAATCAGGACGACTGTCTTCTTTTTAAGGTCCTTCAGTGATCCTGGTGTAGGTTACAAACCACTGGTCTATACACACTTGAACTTCGGTTTCTGAAGTAGCCAGTAATAAAAAGGAATAAAATGTAGTATTATAAGATAGTCCCATGTATTATATTTGCAAATGCATTGGGTAGTTTACTGTTTAATTTGTTAACAGTTCTTCCAATACACTTCAGATGTGGCTGTAGATTCATAAGTCAAAATAAAGGCTGGGCCGAAACCGGTTTGGCTCAGTGGATAGAGCGTCAGTCTGCTGACTGAAGGGTCCCAGGTTCAATTCTGGTCGGGGGCATGTACATTGGTTTCGGGCACATCCTCGGTTGGGGGTGTGCAGGAAGCAGCTGATCGATGTTTCTCTCTCATCGATGTTTCTAACTTCTCTAACCCTCTCCCTTCCTCTCTGTAAAATATCAATAAAATATATTTTAAAAAATAAATAAAAAACAAAGGCTGGGAGAACTGTTCTGTAGATCGAGACCTCCAGGATTGAACATATGAACACACGGTGCTCACATTTTTCCTTACCTCTTTATGCCACCAAGGGGTATTTGCTAGAGGATAATAATTCCATAGCATATTTTATGTTTATGTATTTTTATTCTTGACTCTCTGATACATTTTTCAGTTATTACTAGAAAAGCAGAATCTACTCAGCAGAGAAAATTTGGGAAATGTAAAGAACTACAGAAAAAGAAAAAAATAATAATCCACATTCCCACAGTTCAAAATAATTGCTGCAAACATTTTCATTCCTTCGTTGTACTAAATTGTCAGCTTTCAGGAGAGGCCTTCTGACTCAAAAATTCTAGGATCTGATGTGTATGTTTGAAATTTTTCGCAATGAAAAAGTCTATTCTAGAAGCAACTCTGATACACTCTGCAGTTGGTATATTTTAAGCATTACTTTTGCTTTTAGTTTTTCTGTTCCTAAGCCAGTTGATTCCTTCTTAGTGACTTAATATTTCATGATTTTTGACATGTAAATTAAACAGGCATTTCCATATCACACACCATGGCTTCCCTTATATACATGCATGTTTACCCTCTCAAAGTAAATATGCATGTTTATACCTAGTTGGTTTGGCTCAGTGGATAGAATATTGGCACACAGCCTGAAAGGTCCCAGGTTCAATTTCTGTCAAGGGCACAAATCTTGGTTGCAGTCTCGATCCCATCCCTGGTTGGGGCACGTGCAGGAGGCAACCAATCGATGTGTCTCTCTCACATCCATGTGTGTGTGTGTGTGTGTGTGTGTGTGTGTGTGTGTGTGTGTGTCTCCCCCTCCCTTCCACTCTCTACAAATCAATTAAGCCCTAGCTGGTTTGGTTCAGTGGATAGAGCATCAGCCTACAGACTGAAGAGTCCCAGGTTCGATTCATGCTCAGGTTGTGGGCTTGACCTCCGTTAGAGGGTATGCAGGATGCAGCCGATCAATGATTCTCTCTCATTGATGTTTCTATCTCTCTCTCCTCCTTTCCTCTCTGAAATCAATAAAAATATATATTTGAAAAATAAATTAAAAAAAAAAAAATAAAGGGAAAAATATCCTTGAGTGAGGATTAAACCAAAATAAGTTTTCACTAAATAAATCATACCTCATTATGGAAACCATATTGCCCCTGACCTTTTTAAATACATTTTTAAGTAAATTCCTCAGTCTTGGAGTATGAACACAGTCATTGATTGTGCCATATTGGAGTTTCGCTTAAAGGAGCGAGCCCAGGGGCCAGAGCTGGCCATTGGACACTGTGGCCCGTGTGTAGTACCAGATATCCAAGACTCAGTGAAAAATCTCAGTTTGGGACCCTGAGTATCTGTTACATCTGTATGTGATCTTCATTACTCCTAAAACTTTCATTCCCCTGACCTTCACTCTCCCTTCTCCCACCTCCAAACCCCCCTCCCTCAGTAATCCGTGAGTCACGGACTCTTGTCTAATCTCCATGGCATGGTGTTGGAAAATAAGGAGTATAGATGAGATTGCTTTGAAAATTCAAATTACATCATCCCAAAAATGAATAGGGACTTAAGCTATTGGTAATATTATATCTATAGTTTTCTATTTATAAGTTACTTTCCAACACTAAATACAACCTGTACTGCATTGTTTCCTGCGTGCATGCGATGTCACCTACGAATGCTGTTGGATAATATTGGAAGGGGGAAAAGAAGTTTGAGGTTAAGTGATGTGGAGATTTGAGTTCCACCGATATGTAGAAGTTCTAGTTGGACTAACATGTAGATGTGTACATTTAAAAATAAATTATTTGGCTTGAAAACAACTTTTAAAAAGTAGCTTAAACCAGTCACAGGAAGTTTCTAATTTGACAACCAAAACATTTTATTGACATAAAACATTGGAAACTAGGCTGAAAATAAACTTGTCTAGATACACAGTTTTTAAGATTGATATTTTTTTTTGCTTCTTTTATGTGTTTATTAATCTTAAAATTAGTAAACTTTTGTTGTAGATTAGCTAAATCGGTAAAAATAACGTTGGTTAACCATGATAGAAATGCTTATTTTTTATAATATAGAGGATTAAAACTATTTAAGTGTCACAAATTGCAATTATAAACAGACTTATCTGCTTACAAACGGTGTAAACTCTGTTGGCCTTTAATTCTATATACACTATAATGATTCTCTCTTTTTTAAAATACATTTTTATTGATTTCAGAGAGGGAGAGATAGAAACATCAATGATGAGAAAGAATCATTGATTGACTGCCTCCTGCACGCCCCTTACTGAGGATTGAGCCCAAAAGCTGAGCATGTGCCCTTGGCTGGAATCAAACCCTGAACCCTTTAGTCCACAGGCCAGACCAGCTAGACCATGATTGTCTTTTGAATGCTTTCACTCTTGAGTCCAGAGCCTGCTCAAACAAATGTTTTTCTAGAGGCAGTAATTAAGTACAACATCGCTGGAAATGTAAGGCACGGCTTCAGCCTTTTCAGAGCTAGGGAGACACATTGAATCTTTGCTAAGTACATTTTAGTTTGCACATCCTTGAAATAATCCTGCATACGGTGTTACACTGTGAGAAAATTCTAAATAGAGTATATATAAATGTCAGTCTAAATTAACTCTAATAAAATGTGTGCTTGTCTAAGTGACAGGATATCTTATGACATTAAAATTTTAATATTTTAGAGAACTAAATTTTCTGATTAATCTTATAAAGAACTGAATATCATTTTAAGCTCTTTTACTGATTAATCAAATGAGGCTGTGTTTCTCCTTTTAAGTTCATTGGTTATCACCCTCTAGTTTATCCTTGGAATCATGATGCTTTATCACCTTTTCTATACTTAGGATTGTTTATTAATTGACTATACTGATTATATTTATGAATCAAAGCCTAGTTGCAGCAATATTGTCTTTAGTAAGCTTTTTTTGGTGTCACCTTGAATGTATGCTATAAAAATATTAAATATTTCAAAATGGTTTATATAAGCGAGATCTATACAACTGTGAGGTGAAATGTAAACAACTGCACTATTAGGAAGATATTAAAGTAGAGGCTATATTTACAGTGTCGTCTTTCAAATCTAGCTATGCTGTAAACTGATGTTTGCTGTATGCTCCTCCTGATTTGAAATAGATGAAAGAAAATGAACCTATTATCACCATGGTTCACACAATGATTGAGAACTCGGCGCTAAGACCCCAACTGTACCAGCAAGTAAGGTCTTGGACAGTGAATGATACTGCTTTATCATCTGCAAAATCCCTCAGTGACAGTTTTGGTTTATCCTCAGAGTTACTCATAACATTAGTGTTTTTCTTATTCCATTTTTTTTGTTTCTGTCTACTTGGAAAAATGCAATTCATCCATGCTTTTCAAGATGCTGCAGTATTCTTAGCATGGCTTCGCTGAACATTTTGCTGTTGAATATTGAGTGTGCCATTTTCCTGAAGTTTTTGTGCAGAGTATTTGATTGATATGTACTTGGAGGTCTGCAGTACAATTGCAAATTTTTTACTAATATTGCCATTAATATTGATTAACTGTAAAAACATTATAACTGATTTTTAGGAAAAACTTTTAATTTTTTTCTTTTTTCCTTTTAAGGGCCACCCCTCTTCCCCTCAATGTTTTAGGAATAGGTGATATTTGTATGGAAGTCCTTTATATCTAGCTTTCTCTACTGTGGTCCGGTAAAACCTACAGATGGCCATTTCTTAACATACTGGGAGTATCTTCTCCCTGTATTCTTATCATCCTTATGCAGTTATCAAGATAGTCCTGTCTTTCCTCATTCTTTTCCCCTAACTCGGAATATATATATATATATATATATATATATATGTAGTTGGCTGGCTTTCATGTAGGACCTTGGTAATCTGCAGATCTGCAAAAGAAGTCATGTTATACATTCTTATCCACTTTTGTTTATTTATTTTTTATTTCATGGTCTCAATGTTCTTAGCTGTGTGTTCTGCAACATCAGCTTCTTCCACCTCAACACTCAAATTACTGTGGCCTATGACCTGTTAGTTACTTAAATCGTAGAGAAGAAGAAAATTAACTAACATGAAAAATGAATATATGTTTTGACTAAAATGTGTAAAACATCTGCTGCTGTTTTTTAAAGTGCCTTGAGGTCACTCTGGTTTGCCTTAGTCACCTTGCTGTCACAGCATCGTGGCCTTGCAGCTGTGAAATTGAAACAGCTGGGGGGAGGGTGACTCACTTCCAAGCAGATTTCAAAACATTTAAAGTATATTTTGTGATTGAGCATAGTTTTGCATTTGCAATAAAGAGAGAAAGTATTAAATATTTAAAGTTAAACAGCTTTACTTTTCAACAGAAAATGGAGCCTTTCCATTCTGAAAGTCACCAGATTAGTGAACCTACACAACACTCCCTTCCAAAGTAACACCCTGAGAACCTCAGCACATGTTCTGGGATTGATACCTTTCTGTGTCAAAGCTATTTGTTTATTGTTTTGTATGATGCTAAATTGATCTGAGATCAAAGCCATTTTGGTTGTATTAGGTTAATAAAAGTGCTAACCTGGGTGTTCCTGTTTGGTTAGGTTTGGTTTGGTTTTTCTTTTTTATATTGATTACTAATCAGCGTTCATGATGCAGACATCATTGCTGATTGAAATTATTTAGTCATGTGCTCACTTCGGCAGCACATATACTAAAATTGAAATTATTCAGTCACACTAAGAGGGGTTTTTTTTTCATGTGGAGATATTAATTTTTTTCTCTCCAGGTTTCCTTTGTCATGTTATTATCCAAAGTAAACCTTTATCATATTTTACATTGAACACTGTTATGCTTTTTCTGACATTGCATTACAATACTGTATTAATGGCTCCTGAGTTCAGCTGAAAATATAGTGACAATATCATATTGTATGACCTGTTACTCTAAATCACCCTGTTGAAGTTTTCATTCAGGAGGATCTTCATGCTGGCATTTTCTTAGAAGAAGAAATTACCTAGACAGTAATTATCTTAAAATTAATCAAATAAGTAGGACCGAAAACTGAATCAAAAGAAATAAGCATCAAGTTTTAAAAATTCCTCTTATTTGTTCTACCATCTTTCATAATTACATTGTTGTAACCAGGGTTTTTATAATATAATTAATCAGTGAAATTAATCACCTGATAAATAATCGTTTTAAAAGATACAAAAGATACAGACTAATAGCAAATACTTACAGCCCTGTGAGCATTTTTGAATCTGCATAGGGTGTAATGTCTAATATTATTAAATATTTCTTCAAAAATTATTTTTGGGGTTTGTGTGTACATATATATGTCACATATATAACAAGGGATACTGTAGAAAGTTGAATTTTAATGGACAAAACTAATTTTATTTTGCTTAATGCCAAGCCCCCCCCCTTTTTTTTTTAATTTTTTTAAGATTATTAGATACCTTATGAAAAAGTTCTGGCTTCCTAAGTGAGATGCAGTACATATCCTACACATTCAGTCAGGTTGGCACAGAACACTTCTCTAATTGAAGCTGGGGCAGTGCTCAGGCTCACCTAATTCCTACCTGGCCACTTTTACTTGTTTTCCTAATGTTGCTGAAGTACCGCAAGCCCAGGACGTTTGGCGGACTTTTTTTTTTTTTTTTTTTTTTTTTTTCTAAAGATGACTTTGAAAAATGGTAAAAAATATTGCCATGAAACATTAATTTATGCAAATTGTATTTAATCTGAATATTAATGAAATTACATTTTTTTAGTAGTAGGGTTTTCATATTGAGGACTAAGTAAAAAACTAATTCTAGATGGGAATTGTTTTTTGAATAAATTATATCCATCTTTTCTTAAGCACAGCTTCAGTGGTTATCAATAATGACAAATAGGTCTTGGTTAAAAATTAATTATTTAAAGGATAATCTTGTTTTCTTCTACTCTTCTTCTGACAGGTAAAAGCACTGGATAGTGGAAGTTTGCTTATTTTAAAAGTTTTTCTAAATAATGAATGTTTAACAATGATATCTAATAAGGAATATCTTTATTGAATTATTTCATAAAAGGTTTAAATAAGTTTTTCTGTTATACTTTTTAGGTACAACAAAAATTTAATTTGTGTAAATAATATATTCAGATATCTATAAGGATACGTCATTCTAAAATTATAACTATGCAGTACATGTTTTTCTTTTTTATACTATGCTAACTGTTAGGAAAATGAAAATGCAATAATATTCCATAGATAAAAATGTCATACCAACGTCCAAAATACTTATTACAGGTTACTAAGTTTTCATTTAAAATTACTAATCTTTTTGCTGTTGACCCTGGCATATAGGATACAATTCCTATTTCAGTCTTAATGTGATACTGTCTACCAGTTATGTTCAAATTACACACTCTATTGTTTAGTAAAGCTGTTCTGCATTTAACTTTAAATATTAAATAAGCAAGGTATGTTTGGACAGTTAGTAGCTAAAAGCTTTATATCTTTCAATTCTTAATAAATGAAAAAATTATTTTTTCATATTACTTATATTTTTTGTCATCAATCTAAGCATTTTTAAACTTATTTCTCATTGATAGGAGTATACATCCCTTTCTTGGGTTTAGAAGCTTTAATTTGGAATGACAATTGACACTACACTCCTGAGGACATATTCAGTGATCTTTATTTCAAAATAGTGCACAAGTATTGACTTTGGACACTAAATTCATTTTTCATGTGATGTTCATTTCTATGAAATTTTTGTGGTTTACAATCACTGTGCATACCTTAAATAGTCACGGGTTCATTTGCATGAGGTACGTGAAACTCGTGTCTTGAAATGAAACATGGAAATCCAGGATTATTATTGTATGTTTGGAATGCTGGCATTTACCCTGATTCCCACATTTCCAGATCCATTCAAAATTATCTGCTATTTAAATTATGCCTCCTCCTAAAGATGTAACTGTTGAGCAGTTTTTTAAAGAAAGGGCATATATACTTATAATTTATGTATTCGTATATATTTATATGTGTACATATGATATTTAATTTTCTAATCTAGAATGTAGTTGGGAATACATTACTCCCATCCCCACTTTGAGAAAAAATGTGCCATTTAGTAAACATGCAATGAGCCCCAATTAAATTTTTCTACTGTGTGTTTTTACTGCCTAGCAGTCAATATAAACTCTTAAAGCGAGAGAGAGTGAAATACTGCCTGCAGAGACTGTGATGTGATCTGTCTATAACTGATGGGGGTGGCTATTGAAATCTTGGTAAGCACAACCAGAAATGAGCATTTGTTTGACCAAAAGATATTTGGAAGAAGCTGAAGAAACCATGTTTAAATACACTGAATAATTATTATTTACAATATAGTAAAACAAATGTCAGTGAACATATATTTTTTTTATGAAATTTGACTATCATAGTTTATAATATAGGCTTTCAGTTTCATAAGGTTTTGAATGATTTTTTTTTCCTCTTGTCAATTAAACCCATACTTTCCTCCATTATCTTTTAGTTCTTAAGACAGAAGAGCAAGATAAGTCTATATTGTGTATGTGTGTTTATATATTATGTATCTGTATACAATATGTTATAAGCTTTGTTGGTAAAATTGTACTAAGATGTGTTGACATTTGAGTGTACACATACACAGTTGTGTGATTATGTGTATACTGTGAATGACAGTTTTGACGTTGAAATATGCCTGGCTCAAATTATTTGATCCAATATAGTTGCCACAATTGTACTTGTCAACTTTCATTAAAATGTGTGTCTTACAAATGGAAAATGTAAGGTGCTGTATAATTTTGTGTGACCAGCTTATTATTTTGTTTGATAAGCTGAAGTTAACACCATTTTTTATGTATCTTGCATATTGTATCACTGAAATATCTTTCTATTTTTGTAATGATCTCTGTTTGAATTAAACTTCTGAAAGTATAAGAATCATTAAAACCCCATTTTTATTATTGTTATATAAACCTAAAATATTAACTATAGCCTAAATAAGTATATTTTTGAATATTAGTGTTAAAGTTGCTATATGACATTTTTCCTTATAGCTGTCACAAGATGAATGCAGAGGCACCTTATACAAATACAGGCCTGACGAAGTAGATATTGATGTAAGTATTCCTTTGCTGTGTATTGTCAGTGCTGTCATATTCTCTGCCAAAACATTGTAAATAAAGCATGACAAAAAATCCCTCTTCCTTTTCTGCCCTCCAAAATGACATCAAATGAATTAGCATTTTCTTCTTTTGCACTTAGATTGAGTCTATTCTCCTGCAAATCTTCACCCCCGTAGTTAGCAGTCAAGTAAATGTATTAAGAATCACGTAAGAGCAAGTACAAGACTATTTCATTAAAAATTATGTAGGACTGAGGACAAAGTAAAATTGTCTAAATGTTTTGGAGAAAGTATACACTCTACAAATTCTATCACTCCTTCCTGTTTTATTAAATTTCATATTTTTTTAAAATCATATTTCAGATTGATAGCTTGCCATGCATTCTTACTTATTTATGTCCCATTATTCCCTCATTTCCCCTGGCTTTATTCATTGCGTTGTTCCTTTTTCTCATTTCAGTTTACAGTAGTTCCCCCTTACCTGGTTTTGCTTTGTGCAGTTTCACTGACCTGCAGTCAGCCCAGATCCAAAATAGTAAATGAAATATTCCAGAAATAAACAACTCACAAATTTTAAAGTTCATTTCATTCTGAGTATCATGAGGGTGATTGATTCATCCCTCTGTCCATCATCTCCTCCCTGCTGCATACACTCCCCACCTACTCATTCATCACATACCCATCTCCATTATCAGATCGAATGTCAGGGTATTGCAATGCTTGTGTTCAAGTAACCCTTATTTTATTGAATGACCACCTCAAAGCTTGAGAGTAGAGATGGTGGCAATTCAGATATATCAAAGTGAAGCTGTAAAAAAGTGTATGTGTGTACAGGAAAAAACAGGCAGCAACCAATTGATGTGTCTCTCTCGCACACTGATGTTTCTCCCTTCCCTTCCACTCTCTCTAAAAATCAATGGAAGATATCCTTGGATGAGGATTAACAAAAAAATAAAAAATAAAGATTGACACAATTAGGTATTCCATAGCTTTTTTGAGTGTGTTTTCTTGTTAGAATCACCTCCAGTTACAGGAGTGATAGCTAACCTACCTCCAGTTACAGGATGGGGAAATTGCTAACAAAAGGTATCTTCTCTTACAACGTAGGCCAAGTTAAGCCGTCTCTGTGAACAAGATAAAGTGGTACATGCTCTGGAAGAGAAACTCCAGCAACTCCACAAGGAGAAAGTAGGACAATTATGTTTATTATCTGCAATTGGTGTTACTTTATATGGTTATTATTGGGACACTGTAATAACTGAAGTAAAAAGGAATTAATTCCATGGTGCAGAACATTAAATGTAATTATTTTTATTACAATAGTACACGCTTGAGCAAGCTTTGCTCTCCGCCAGCCAAGAGATAGAAATGAATGCCGATAACCCAGCAGCCATCCAGTCGGTGGTGCTGCAGAGGGATGATTTACAAAACGGGCTGCTCAGCACATGTCGAGAGCTTTCGCGAGCCACTGCCGTAAGTAGCAGATTCCGTTCTCCTCTTAAGACTCCCTGCTCCAGCTGGTTTGGCTCAGTGGATAGAACGTCGACCTGTGGACCAGATGGTCCCAGGTTCAATTCTGGTCAAGGGCATATGCCGGGGATTGCAGGCATGATCCCCAGTGGGGGACGTGCAGGAGGCAGCCAGTCAGTGATTCTCATCATTGATGTTTCTATCCCTTCCTCTCTGAAATCAATAAAAATAAAAATACATTTAAAAGATTCCCTGAAATATTAGGCAGTTTTTCCTTTATCTATTTCTTTTTTTTTCTTTTTTTAATATATTCTTATTGATTTTTTTTACAGAGAGGAAGGGAGAGAGAGAGAGAGCTAGAAATGTCGATGAGAGAGGAACACCGACCAGCTGCCTCTTGCACACCCCCCACCGGGGATGTGCCCACAACCAACATACATGCCCCTGACCGGAATCGAACCTGGGACCCTTCAGTCCGCAGACCGACGCTCAACCACTGAGCCAAACTGGTTTCGACTCCTTTATCTATTTCTGTTTGATTGGACTATCTTTAGAATTTCTTTATTAGAACTAGAAATTAATTTGTTAATGATATAAAAAATGAAGGTTGGTCTTCATTTCTCTAATTAGTAGAAGGCATCTTATTTATTGTGAAATAGTTGTTTTTATAGGAGATAAATACTTCTGTTTGTATATTACACAAATGAAAAATGTTTAAATATGTTTAGATTTATTATAGTAAGGAAATTTTATTTTTTTTTTAACTTTAAGGGGGTTGGGATAATTTTGAGAAGGTGGTAATTAGGTTCCCTCAACCAACCATTTCAGTAAAAGGCACCTGTGCAATGCTTCTAAGAGCCTGTCAACATTACTGTTTCATGGCTGCAGTGCAATCTCAGTTTAGATGATAGGTTTCAGTAAGAAATATAATTAGCCGAACCTTTTAACCCACAGTCTTGTCGCTCTATAAAGAGTCTCTTGGGATTACTAAATCTAAAAGTCTTATGTGCAGTTTATAAATTAAAGTGTTTTATGAGTCTGCACAGGCTGCTTTAGATCCTGTGTGCAGTCATCCCTAGGTGTGGGGAGAGCACCTGCCCATGCAGCCCTTTGAAAGAGAAATCCTCGCAAAAGCCACCTGTTAAAGCTGCTAACACATCCTTGTCTGTAGCTCCCAGGGACTCCTTAGGGAGCAGCTACCTTTTAAGAAGGTCCACAGCTTAACTAAGAAAGGTCTTTTCACGCTGGCAGGATTCCAGAATCTCAGCATGGCTTCGATTCTGAACACTAAAATAGTGTTCCAAACATGAGCTATTTCTGCCCTAGCCCTGTGGTCGGCAAACTGCGGCTCTCAAGCCGCATGTGGCTCTTTGGCCCCTTGAGTGTGGCTCTTCCACAAAATATCATGGCCTGGGTGAGTCTACGTTGAAGAAGTGGCGTTAGAAGAAGTTTAAGTTTTAAAAATTTGGCTCTCTGGGTGGGGGCATACGTGGGGAGAGGTTTGGGGTGAGATTGGGGGGATGAGGACAATTATGTGATACCATAATCAATTTTTTTAAAAAGGAAAAGAAAAAAACAACTTTGGCTCTCAAAAGAAATTTCAATTGTTGTACTGTTGATATTTGGCTGTTGACTAATGAGTTTGCTGACCACTGCCCTATGCAGTTTGGCTCAGTTGGCCCACGACTGAAGGGTCCCAGGTTGGATCCTGTTTAAGGACACGTACCTTGGTTGCAGGCTCATGTGGAAGGTAACCAATCAATGAGTCGCTCTTCACATCAGTATTTCTCTCTGTCTCTCCTCCCTTCCACTCTCTCTAAAAATCAATGGAAAAAATACCTTCGGGTGAGGATTTAAAAACAAAACAAAAAGCCAAAAACCGGTTTGGCTCAGTGGATAGAGCGTCGGTCTGCGGACTGAAAGGTCCCAGGTTCAATTCCAGTCAAGGGCACATACGTTGGTTGTGGGCACATCCCCAATGGGGAGTGTGCAGGAGGCAACTGATCCATGTGTCTCTCTTCTAGTGTAGTCATAAAGAAAATGAGTACACCTGAAATGTCCACAAGATGGTAACCAGTTAATGATGGGCTGGATTTGGATAGGAAGAAAGGGGAAGTGAAAGATGGTCCATACAGGACAAAATGCCTCAAATCACAGCGCAGAAATGAGTATGTGGGAGACATGTCTAGAGAAACTAGAAGTGGAACCGGCTGACTAGAATTCAGGGATCGGAATGTGAGATTAGAAAGGGAAATGGGGCCAAGATGTCAGTGCCAAACTCATGGAAGCTTCAGTATTCCTGTGATGACCTGAGGCAAAGCAAAATTTTGTTGGAAGCTATTTCATGATTGATATCTGTTTTAGGGAATTCTGGTGATGGGCACTTAAATCTCATTAGGAGGCTTAGAATTTGCTCCATCCCAAGGTTAACTCCAGCACTGATAGAAGTTTATTTAAAATGTTTTAATAGAAATTAATCATGTTTTAGTATCCCGCTTTTTGATTTTTTGTTTGTTTGTTTGTTTTTTAAATATATTTTATTGATTTTGTACAGAGAGGAAGGGAGAGAGATAGAGAGTTAGAAACATCGATGAGAGTCATCGATCAGCTGTCTCTTGCACACCCCCTACTGGGGATCCGCCCGCAACCAAGGTACATGCCCCTGACTGGAATCAAACCCGGAACCCTTCAGTCCCCCAGCCGACGCTCTATCCATTGAGCCAAACCGGTCCTGGCCCGCTTTCTGGTTTTATCCCATATAATCACTTTTCTGTGTTGTTTCTTTCCCCTTGCCTTCGGCATTATTCAATTGATCATTATAAACCCTCAGTGTGTTCTTCTAAAACATGACTTCTGCATAGAATACAAACTGTTAATTTGTGCCTTTATGTAAAGTTAATGCGTATTAGCAGCTGAAGGCTACAAATGATGCATAGCATCACACTGGGCATAGGGTGGTCACTCAGTGGATGTTGATTAGATTTAAATTACATTTAACATTTATGCCAGCAGAATCTCAAAGGGCATTCTCTGATTCCCTCACAATTGATTCAAGGCATTGGTTCAAATCTAACTTCTGAGGTATAAAAGATAGAACATCAGAGGCATAACATTAAGGCATCCAATGATCAAGCCCGGGTTTCAGAGAACATCTCCTCTCTGGTTGGCTACGTAGGTACATAAAACCAGGATTAGCACAAGGTAAACATGTGAAGCAGCATTCCCTTTATGTTTTCTTTAATTCTTAAAGCTGTACCTCCTCTTCATAAGCCCCACCCAGCACAGCCACATGTTTTTAGGCACGTGGTGTTCTCACCTCTACTTTATCTAAACTCTATTAGTGAGCAAGATTATTAAAGCAGTCTGATATACCTCGGTATTTTTCAGTGTATAAACTGTCTTGGTTTGGATTCTCCTCTGAAAGCAGACCCTGAGATGAGGAACTGGGTTCAGAAAGTTTGGGGGGAGGTGGTTGCAGGAACAGAGGCACTGAGTGTGGAGAGGGAGAGGGGAAAGCACTGCTGAGTCGGTTACCGCTGTGAGCAGCGGGACTTCTGTCCCACTGAGGATTCTGAGAAAATGCGCAGAATGCTCTCAAAGGGTTTCCCAGTGAGAGGCTTGCCAAGGTGACGAAACTATTAGGGAACAAGGTCAGACCAGAGTCAGCATCTCTAAGTCAAACACTTCATTCTGGGGCTTCTGTACTTCCTGCTCCACCTCACAAGACAGTCACATGTACTTTATGGAACTTGTATTGTACTGTGTGTAATGCTTCAAACAATTTTTAAAAAAAAAGAATTCTGCAAACCATGCTGGTGGCAAGAGTGGGTAGGGAGAGGTCAATGGGGGAAAGGGAAACATATACAACACTTTCAACAATAAAGACTTTAAATAAAAAAAGGAAAAAAAAGAAATCAAATTTATATTTTCTTATGAAAAAATCTAAAATTGGGATTTCAGACATCAGAAGCAAGTTATAAAGGCCCCCAGTCATCCTATTGGAGGGCTTACGTATTGATCCACTGTAAGACTATCAGTATATGAAACAGTAATAATAATCGTGAATATTTCTCCAGCACTTATGAGCTGCCGAGTTCGTTATGAACTTGACGTGGGTACTATTATTCCTATGTTGAAAGTGGAAAACTGAGATACGGAGATTGCAATTATAAGTAGCATGTGTAGACTTCCATTAAAACCTATTTGTGTTCTAAACTGGCTGGGAGACAGGAGGGCCGTGAGTAAATGGAGAATTTAGAATACAGTGGACAAAGCAGGTCTAAGATTGTAAGCTTAAAGGGGCATGGAAGCAGGGAGGGACTTACACAGAGGTGAAGTGTCACAGACTGCTTTGAAGGATTGTAAGACGGGTCTTAAATACCCTGGTTACTTCCTGATTACTCAGCCACATCCCCGAGAAAGAGACAGCCCGGTGTGACAGCCCCCTGGTGCGCTGCAGTGGAAAGTACCCAGCAATACTTAAGGGGTATTTTTACCAAAAAATCAAGTCTGAATCTCAACAGTCTCCATATCTCACTACGAATTTATAGGAAACAGAAGAGCACACTAAGCAGTATCACAGGGATTCAGTTAGCAAAGCCTAGAGTAGGAGAACCTTTACAGAAAAAAAAAAAACCTTTTTCTTCAACAAATATGTAGCAAGGGAGTGGGGGGAAGAGGGTGTTACAATTTTTTTAAGTGTTTTTTTTTTAAATATATTTTTTATTGATTTCAGAGAGATAGAAGCATCTGTTATGAGAGGGAATCATTGATCAGCTGCCTCCTGCGCGCCTGCCCCTTATTGGCGATTGGGCCCGCAACCACGTTCAATTCCTGCTCAAGGGCATGTGCCCAGGTTGCAGGCCCCATCCCAGTCCAGACTGTGTCTCTTTCACATCAGTTACTCTCTTTCTCCAGCCTCCCTCTCTTCCACTCTCTAAAAGTCAATGGAAAAATTATCCTCAGATCAGGATTAACCAAAAAAACTTACTTGTTGGCTAGGTTGGGATTTTCTATTCTTTTGCCATTCCTGAAACGACCCCACACATGCACACATATTTAACTGTGTCAACATAGTCTCCAAAAATTACACTAGTAAATGCACAGATATGCCTGCTATCCAAATCAAGGCACTGAATTTTATTGCCTTCTCCCAAAAACATCACTTAAACTGTTAACTATATATTAGCTTTGCCTGTTTTTGTATCTTAATAAAATATGATCATATCACATATACTCTTTAACTTTGTGACGTTCATCCATGTGGTTGTAGATTGCAAGAGTTCATCCATTCTCTTAACTGTATGATATGAAACTGTACACATTTTTATTTCAAGCACTGTTTTAAGGTAATTGCCTACTTGAAAGTCATTAAAACCCTTTTAATTGCCTTGATGCACTTATATATTATCTTCTTGAGAGAAAAAAATAGTAAAGACATATTTAAAGATTTTAACATTGTGCTTGCATAATCCGTTAAATTCTTTAATGACACACCCAGCCAGGTGTTGGAAGGAAACCTTATGCCAGTGCCACCCTTTTCTTGGGATCACCTGCTGACTGGTGTTTTATGTTTGAGGAGCTGAGAGATAATGGCAGAAATGGGAGGCCCAACAGGATTATGGGACTCGGGCCAAACGATACAGTGCAAGGCGGGAATTTCCAGGTTATGAAAACTGAAAGTATATTATGTTTCCTTGCTCTTAACCCACCGTAGTTTCCGGCGTATAAGACGACTTTTGAAACAAAAAAAAGTCAACCGAAAATCGGGGGTCGTCTTATACACCGAGTATATCCCGAAAAACCTCTCGATATGCTGCTAAACGGATTTTGTGAAGAGACCTTCCATTTATCGTATCAATGTATGGTATATTACGGTATGTTCGGAAAATGTCATTCGTTAAAAATTTACCGTATTTTTCGGACCATAAGACGCACTTTTTTCCCCCCAGAAGTGGGGGGGGAAAGTCCCTGCGTCTTATGGTCCAAATATAGCCTACACATATACTTTAAAAAAAAAAGTTTTTTTACTTGCCCGGCTCTGTGTGGTCTCTGTGTGCTTGCCCGGCTCTAAAATGGTTCTAAATGCTGCTGTTTACTTTACAGGGTTGATTACATGTGTTTATGACTGTGATGTTGGGTTTTAATGCACATAAAATATTTTAGGACACTATTTGTTTCAGAATCTTTTTTTCTTCATTTCCCTTCTCTAAAAACTGGTGCGTCTTATGGTCCAGTGCGTCTTATGATCCGAAAAATACGGTAATTAGAAAAAGAACTGGTGTTGCCTCGGAAGTGGGGGGTAGTCTTATACAGCGAATATAGGCCTAAACCTATGTTTTAACTGTAAAATTAGGGGGTCGTCTTATACGCCGGAAAATACGGTATTGGAAAAGTAATCTCTAGCTCTCAGTCTCTCCTCTTGTTTCTATAAGAAAGATGAGGATTCCCACCATTCTAAAATGTTCTTATAGCCAAAACCGGTTTGGCTCAGTGGATAGAGTATCGGCCTGCAGACTGAAAAATCCATTCCGGTCAAGGGAATGTATCTTGTTTGCGGGCACATCTCCAGTAGGGGTTGTGCAAGAGGCAGCTGATCCATGGTTCTCTCTCATAGATGTTTCTAACTATCCCTCTCTCTTCCTCTCTGTAAAAAAATAAAATGTTCTTATATTTAGATGCTTCTACAGCGCCTTTGGGGGCCCTCTTTCTCCTCCTGGGCCCACCTCCTCCTCTCCTCCTCCTCCCTCTGTGCCCCTTCCCCCAAACTCTGGCTTTTCTGTGGGGTGTTAGGTGTTAGTTTGGCAGTACCATCTTCTCTTAATCACTGGGCTGCCATCAGATCCGTTACCCTCATTTTACCCTCCCTGAAGCCTTTAAAAGCCCTCTACCTAAATTTGCCTCTTTTTTTTTTTTTTTTTTTTTTTTTTTTTTTTTGAACATGGCTAGAAGCTATTTTTATTAAAGGGGATAATATCCTTGTTTATTCCGATAAAAAGAGTGTTGCTGAAGCCAAGTAAGGAGGCTAGTGTTTATACCATCAAGATCATATGAAAATCTTCAGTCCTTTATTACTTTGCTTTTTAAAAATTTAATTCGTTGTGAAATCTGCTTAATAGGCTCCTCAGGCTACCTATTTAAAACCTGTTAAGGAGTCAGACCAGCATGGCTCAGTGGTTGAGCATTGACTTGTGAACCAGGAGGTCTCGGTTCAGTTCCTGGTCAGGGCACATGCCCAGATTTCAGGCTCAATCCCCACTAAGGAGCATGCAGGTTTCATCATTGATGTTAAAATCTCTCTCCCTTTCCTTTCCTCTCTGAAACACACGCACACGCACACACACACCCGTAAACCTGTTAAGGAGAATCTTAAACTCAAAAAGCAATGATTCCAAATGACCAGATTCTAAAACTTAATTTTTTTAAAGTATGTACCTTGAAAAGAGGTCCTCTAGGAACTTGAGATATTGCTGTTTGTTTGTTTGTTTGTTTGTTTGTTTGTTTGTTTAATAAGATTATTTTAAGTACCCTCTTAAAATATTTTAAATACTTTCTTCTACAATCAGTACCCTCTTTCCTGTCCCCAGACTATTGCTATTGTTAAACTGACCTTTCCTAGGGAAGTTTCATCAAAGCAGCTCAGGGCAAGAAAGTCCTGGTCATGAGAGGTTCTTAGACAAGAGTCATTAATTCATTTTACAACAGCATTCAGTAAGCATTTGTTGGTTATGTTACATGTGCCAGCACCACACAGATAACTGGTGATCAAATAGTAATCGAATACTGTCCCTGCACCCTACCAGTGTGGATCAGTTAATTGAGTGTCGTTCCATGAAACCAGTATGGGGCAAGCAGGATACAGCCCATTGGTGTTTCTTGTTGATATTTCTATTGCTCTATCCCTCTCCTTTCCTTTTTCTGAAATTAATAAAATATAGTCCCTGCCCTATTTTAGTTTATCAAGTTGTTGACCTCATACCACCACTCTCTGAATGTCTGAAGGGTAACTGCAACCCATAGAAGCAGAATATAATCATGATGTAATTTGAGCGCTTGTAGAATCGTTCTATATTCAATAGAGTTAGACCAAGTATGAAAACTTTCTCTATGATTTTAGAGTTTGGGGGTGATGGTTTTTCCAAAGGAGTAAAGTAGAGGTGAGTAATGTCTGTATTGAGTCTATGACTTGTGTAGTTAGCTGAATTAAGTTTATAGGTTACTGTAAATTTATTCTTAAGTAATTAAATTCATATCAGTCTTCTGTGTTATTGAAAACCTAACATGGTAAAATACAGCGTATTTAGTGTTTTTATTCATGGGAGAATTTTAATCAAGGCATACAAGGAACTGTTTTAAACAATAAAGGGGGGGTGGGGATTGGTAAGGTATGTACACATAGAATACCTTAATTAAAAAAATGAGGGGGAAAAAACAATAAAGGAAAATTAGTTACAAAGGTGTTTTGTTTTCTGCCCAATATAAACTACATGATAATTGCAGTGATAACATTAGAATAATGAAAGCCCTTTTGCTTTCAGGAACTGGAGCGAGCATGGAGAGAATATGATAAGTTAGAATACGATGTAACTATTACCAGGAACCAGATGCAAGAGCAGCTAGATCGCCTTGGTGAAGTTCAGGTATAAAAGTGTCATTTTTTTACGTTGTTTTATCTTCATAGATTCATGTATGCCCATTACTGTTTTTACAGTATTGGCCACCTAAGATGTGAGTTTGAGTATTTTCAATGATAGGGATCTTACTATCTCACAAGATTTCCCATCTCTCTCTGTTTAAAGTTATGTATTCCATCAGGTGCATAGTATAGTGTTCTCTGTTCCTAGCTAACTTCATGGCACTGAGGTAGGTGTTGAATTACAAAAATTTATCAAATAATGGATATTTTAGCTTTTTTAAAAAAAAAATAAAGTTTATTCTGACTTATTCTAATTCGTTCTATATCAAATGCCTCTTTTAACAAACTATATTTAGCCTGTTATCTTCGCAACGCCCACCAGCCAATTGGGAGTGAGTATGCAAATTAACCCAACAAATATGGAAGGATAGTTTGCATTCACAGGTGCTGAGTGGCCAAGACGGGATGGGATGCTTGTGTCGTTGCCATGGTGACAACACAGGCATTCCGCACCACCCCAGCCATTCCGGGCCTCTGGGCAGTGTGGGAAGGTGGAAAGGTTGCTCTGGGGCTGAGCAAAGAGGCGACTCCAGCCAGAGCGAAGGCAGTGCTGGCAGCCAGGGGAAGGAAGGCCCATTCTTGCACGAATCTTTGTGCACCGGGCCTCTCGTAGTAATAATAAAGAGCTAGAAGGCACACTCTGTGATTAGTAGCATGGCACATGTGACCTTAGACCAGTTGCATTACAGTTCTGCACCTCGGTTTCCACACTATAAAATAAAAATAATACTAGTACCTACTTCTATTGGCTTATAACGATTAAATGCGTTGATGTTTTTGGAGTACTTAGAACAGCATCAGACACATAAAGCATATTGTAAAAGTGTTTATTAAATAACTAAGCACTGAAGGCAACATTGACAAACTCAAAAGGTAACATACTGGAAAGAACTGTCTTAACTCCTAGACTTCAATAAGAGTTACTGTCTAGATCTGCAAAGATTTTTTTTTTTTTTTTTGAGAAACAGTACATTAGCAAAATTAGTAAAACATGAGTAGTTTTAATTCATAAAAAAGTAAAATTCAGACCGCTAACAAGTGTGTATATATTATTCAAAGTCAGTGGTAACCAGAAAATGCAAAATAGATTTTAAAATGAGATTTTCACTGTATACCTTTCAGATAGGAAAAAAATACAGATATATATAATTTTTTAATTGTTGCATAAGTAATATAGATTCTATATAGAGCATCTATAGTATCAAATATTTGTAGCTGCTGTTCCCTCCCTGTGCTCATAGCAGTATTCACATCTCTGGGCTGCCATCGCCTTGGGCCCCGTGTCAGGACTTCCTTTGCTTTGGTGCTTTCAGCCTGCGGCTTGGAGAGCTGGATCACAAAGGTCATGCAGTACATCTGGAGGCAGCGTTAGCACACAGTCCTTATGTTTCTAGACTTGGGACACTTATTTCTATTCAGTGTCTATTTTTTTCAGTAATGTTCCATTCCTACGATATTTATTGTTATCTTAAGTATCTAGCAGTAAGATTCATAGAGTTCAATTACAGTTCTTAGCCTGAGGACATGAAATGGGGTATTAGAAGTAAGACAGTGGATGTAACTTAGAATGAAAATGGCAGTGATAAGTTTAGATCCCAAAATTGAGAATTCGTTCTGCAAACACATTTAACTCCATCAGTCAAAAACTCCTTTTGATTGTTTGGCATGTCTGCATGTTTTAGGACTTCAGAAATTAATATACTTTCCATTGCTTCTCCCCAAAAAAAGTGTTGTTGTTTTTTTAAATTTGGGTTTTGAGACTTTCTATTTTGTTCTATTTTTCGGTTTTCCATTTTTAGTCCCTTCTAACCAGTATTCTTTTCTGGAGTCATAAATAACACAAGACAAAGCTTACTGAGGAGATGTGAAATAATACGCTTATAGCTGAAAAATTATATTTTTTCTGCTTTATCTTTTTTTTAAAAATCAATCTTTATTGTTCATATTGTTACAAAGGTTCCTCATTTCTTCCCCCCTCCACCAGGTTCCCACCCCACCCTCCGCCCCCTCCCCATCCCCCATTGTCTTCATCCATAGGTGCACAGTTTATGTTCAGTCTCTTCCTCCCTCCCTTTCCCCGATAGTAAATCCCTTTTCAGATAGTAAATCTGTTATTTAGCATTTTCTCATATCAATAATACCACCACATGCCCAATGATACATTTCACACAAAAGACATTTCCAAATAGGTCAACCAGCCTCATCCAGGCCCCACCCAAGGCACTCACAGATCATCACCCCAGCGCTATACTAACTCAACACATCCAGATCTAAGCCTTCATCACTTGATTCAGCAGACCCTCAAGTTCCCACAAAAGTTTCCAGCCATGTCTGAGAGGCAGCCGTGGGGAAGGGGCAGGCGAAGAGCGAGCTGTTCCGGTCCTGGCAGTTCCGGGCCTGGCCTCTGTTGCTCTAGTTCGTTCCACAACCAGCTGCTCCGGGTCTGGTCACCGCCGCTCCCAACCTAGTTGCTCTGGACCTGGCTGCCGCTGCTCCGGGCCTGGCCGCACCCGACCCGGCTGCTTTGGGCCCGGCTGCCCCGGGCCCGGCCGCTCCAAGTCTGGCCGCTCCCAGCCTGGATGCTCCGGGCTTGGCTACTGCTGTTCTGGACCTGGCTGCTCCCAACCTGGCTGCTCTGGGCCCAGCTTCTTCGGGCCCGGCCACTCCGGGTCTGGGTGTTCTTGGACTGGCCACCCTGGGCTTGGCTGTCTCCGCCTCAGGCCTGGCTGCTACTGCCCCAGGTCTGGCTGCTCCAGTGCTGGCTGTTGTTGCTCTGGTTCTGGCTGCTGCTGCTCTGGGGCCTGGCCGTTGCTGCTCCGGGCCCGGTTGCCATTGCCTTGTGCCTGGGCACTCTAGGCCTGGCCGCCGCTGTTCCAACATTCTGTCCATTTTTTTTTTCTTTTTTTTTTAAACGCATTTATGTTGCAATGTTGGCTGGTGAGTTGAGTTCTGACTTAGTCTTTGAATTTTCAAGATCTTCTTTGTATTCTTTCTTAAGTAATTTTACTATCTTTTGCTCTCACTTGATGTCTTCACATTGAGAACTTTGGTTTCTTCCTCCTTGTCCTGGGAGCTCAGCAGGTTGCCCTGTGGCACCCCTTTGTTCTCCGCGGGCTCCCGCGCTGTTCCAGCCTGTTGCCGGGGTCGGAGCCGCCTAGGAAGCAGCCCCCGGCCTTGGCTCCGTTGCCCGCGCTCAGAGGTCGATGGCTCAGGGGCACCCCCCCCCTGGGGGCCCCGGCGCCCTGCTCCCTGCCGGCGCCCGGCTCCCTGCCGGCGCCCGGCTGGCTGGTGTCCGGCAGGGGCTCCTGCTCCCTGTCGCATTCCTCCAGTCTGGAGCTTTTTTTTTTCTCCTTCCCGCTAGGGGAGTCCAGGATCAGAGTCAACAGACTGTCCTCTGCGTGCAGTGCGCGCGACTCTGGGGGCTCCGCTTGTCGCCACTCCCCTGGGATTCCGCCTCACAGCCCTGTCTCCCCCTGCCCGAGCCTGGGTCCCCAGGGTCTGGTCCAGGACTGGGGTTCAGAGCAGTCCGGACTGAGGCACAGTGCCGCTGGAGGCTTTGTTTCTTCACTAGGGTAATCCAGCATCAGAATCAACATTCAGTCCTCTGCGCACAATGTGCGCACGACTCCGGGGTCCCTGCTTTTCGCTGCTCGCTTGGGATTCCGCCTCACAGCCCTGTCTCCCCCTGCCGGAGCCTGGGTCCCCAGGGTCTGGCTCATAACTGGGGGTCAGCACTGCCGATTCGGGGGTTTAGCCCAGGCTGGGGGTTTTATTTCCTTCCTGCTAGGGAACGCCAGGCAGCACCCAGCCCTCTCCTCCTCTCGGCTGCGACCTCTCCGCGTGCGGACGTGCGTGCGGGCGCGCAGCATGTCTCCGTACCTTAGGCTTTTTCAGCTCCTCTGATTTTCCTTCTGGTTTTCTCTTTCCTTCTTGTTGTAGAATTTTCAGTCAGTCGACTACCTGTAGCTCTGGGCGATGTCCACTCTACATTTTAGTTGTATTCCATTGAAATTGTTGTGTGCTGCTGCGGTTAGGTGTCTACCCGAGCAGCCATCTTGGATCCTCCCTCTTAAAAATATATCTATTTTTTCTGCTTTATCTTTTATCAGTGCCACTAAAAATCTTCTTTTAAAACATATAAATAGCAGAATATATAACTTTAATGATTTTTTTTTTTTTTTCTGTATGCGGTCTGTTTTCGCTGATAGACCGAATCAGCAGGAATTCAGCGTGCACAGATTCAGAAAGAACTTTGGAGAATTCAGGATGTCATGGAAGGCCTGAGTAAGCACAAACAGCAAAGAGGCACTGCGGAAACAGGTACGTTTGCGTTTTGCATTGTGTTGTGCAGTAATTGGCCATAGTATTGTATCTAAATGGGATGACACAGAAAATTGGGTTACTTTTGTTATTTTAATAGGTTTTTCAACACTCTTCTTGGTAACGTTGAGTCAGTACACAAGTGCATAAAGTAAAAAAGCAAAAGTTCTGCCCACCTCACCCACTCAAAAATAAATCATCGTGTTATGTGCACTGTAATTATAGGCACGCAAACAGTGTTTTGGTTGTGTGAGGTTTTTCCCCCCCACAACAGAAGATGGGATCATATTATCCCTGTTATCAACCATTTGCTCTTTGGTTCTTAACTGCAATATAATAATTGCTGTGTACAAATTCATTGTGTGCCCCTAGCTGGTGTGGCTCAGTTGATTGAGCTTAGTCCCCCGCACCAAAAGATTGCTTGTTCGATTCCTGGTCAGGGCACATGCCTGGGGTGCAGGCTCTGTCCCCAGTAGGGGTCATGCAAGAGGCAGCCAATCAATATTTCTCTCTCTCTCCTTTCCTTTTTCTCAAAAAAAAAGAAAAGAAAGAAAAACATAGCTTAAAGAAAAAAGCACCCTGGTACCTCAGTGTTTGAACTGTCAGCCAACACACCGAAGGGTTGCAGGTTCAATTTCCAGTCAAGGGTATGGCATGTTCACTCTCCGCCACTATCTCACATCGATGTCTCTCCCGCCCCCTTCTCCCTCTACTCCTCTTTCCTTCTTTCTCTCCATCTCCCTCTTCCCTCCTCTATCCTTTTCCCTCCCACTCTCTCTGAAAATGCAATGGGGTAAAATTAACTTCAGGTGAGCATCAACAAAAACAAATTTTCAAACCATATCCATTTCTGTGATGATGAACATGTTTTTAGGTTTTGAAGTTTTTGTTGTTATTTTCCTTGGTCATAAGCCATGCTGTCATGAATAGTGTGTGTGTGTGTGTGTGTGTGTGTGTGTGTGTGTATATGGTAGTACTTTGGATTTCAAGAAGTGGGAAATGACACATTTTCCATTTTGCTAGGCCCGGCCAGATTACCTTCCTAAAAGATATCAAAATGTACTTATACCAGTAAATGTTTGAGAAAACTCACTTACCTATTTAAGTTGTTTTAGTTTATGTTTTTTAATGTAGTTAGTTTCAAATTCTGAAAATATTAAAAAGAGAGATTAGAAACTGAATGTTTAATCTATGGATATAAAGAGCCAGGGTCCCTAACCACCAAGGCTCAACCAACACGGGAAGTCAAGCACTGACTGCCTAGGGGGCTGTGGATCAGGCCCAGAGGGAGGCCTGCAGAGAGAGGGGCAGGTTCTGAGCTGGCAGCTGTTGATCAGCTGTTGCCTCTCCCTTTCTCTCCTGGCTTTATTGGCAACCGAGCCTCTGTTTCTCTCGGGGCCTTCTCAGGGGCTGCTGATCGGCCCCGCCGCTTTGATCAGGCCCAGAGATAGGCCTAGAGACACTAATTGGCATAGAAACTGACCAATCAGAATTTAATCTGGGTGAACTGCGAAGGCAGAACCTAAGGTGGGGACTGAGGAAGGGTTTTAAGGGCAACAGCTGTTTGATGTAAGGTTTAAGAAAGCGGTTCAATATTTTCATGACTGGTTTGGTAGTATAGTGCATAGGCTGGCTATAGTCCAGATATAGGGATTATGTGTTTTTGTCTGCTAAGATCATCTCCTGCTGAAAAAGGCTTCCCCCCCCCCCCCAATTAAGCAATTCTATCCTATATATAATCAGTCTATACTATTAAAAGGGTAGTGTGCTAATTAGACTGGGTCAACCAATCATCTTCTGTATGTCCGACTTTCTTCCAAACAAAGCCAATGGTGGTAGGGGTCGAGGCAGTTAGGGGTGATCAGGCTGACAGGGAGGGAATTTGGGGGTGAGATCAGGCCAGCAGGAAAGAGCACTTGGGGGCAAGATTAGGCTGGCAGGGGAGGGCAGTTAGGGGCAATCAGGTGGGCATGCAGGTGAGCAGTTAGAAACCAGCGGTCCCAGATTGCAAGAGGGATGTCCAACCACTGGTTTAGGCCATAGGGATTGGGCCTAAACCAGAGATTGGACATCCCCCAAGGAGTCCCCAATTGGAGAGGGTGCAGACTGGATTATGGGGGACCATGCACAAAATTTGTGCACAAGGGCCCTAGTTTAAAATAAATGAAATTATTTCCTTTTTCTATAGATTTAAAAAGATATGTTTAGTATAAGTTATTTTTTATGCTTTTTTTAATAGGTATAGCAGTATCAAAGCCTTTCACAACAGTTAAGTACAAAAATGAGGTACGTTCGAATTATTTGTCTAACTATGTTATTTTAAATGTTTAAAACATGAATTAGAATTGTCTATTCATAAACTCATAACAAACGTATTTTTTAAATACATTCTAGTTATTGTTTTAATCTTAAAATTTCACTGGTTCAGTGATTTGGTACTTCTAACAAATGTGATTTTTCTTCCCTTAATGCAAAAAATTTAATCACTATTTTTCATCTCTATATTAGAACTTTAACATTGTCATGCTTTTTATAATAAAAGTAATTTGAATTTTTATCATTGCTATACTTGATAACATTTGTAGGATGATTGATAGAGAAGTTGGCTGTGTATCGTGCATACTATAAAGAAATTGCAACTACAAAGAGATACTGTCAACCGAATTGAAAGCATCTATGGTCTTACATTATGTATGAAAGCCAATCAAAAAGAAATGTTTGTTTTTCTTCCATTGAAAATGGCACAAAACATAGGCAACAAGATTTTCAAATTAATTTTTTTCTCTTCTGTTTTTAAAATGCAATGCAATCATTTCATGTATCTGTTTTAGACGTTGAATTACCAAAAAAGATACAATCCTATTTAAAACTATATTGACTTATCATAAGTATTTTCGGTGTTACTTTTCAATATGAGACTTTTGGCTTGGCAGTGTCCCTTTAACTATCTTAAAGCTAATTTAAGTTAACTTACCATTGCAAAGAATTTAGATCTACTTAACTCAGTATGCTTATCTAAATAAGGTGACTGTTCTACAATCTTTAGGAAGAGGAAGTAGCCCCACCTCGTCCTCCACTTCCTCGGTCCTATGACTTTACAGAGCAGCCTCCCATAATCCCCCCTCTGCCCAGTGATAGCAGCTCCTTGCTCTGTTATAGCAGGGGCCCAGTCCATCTGCCTGAAGACAAGAAGACTCAAGGTCAAGGATATACAAGAAATGGATCTCACTGTGTAAGTGGCTGCAGTAGCCACAGAATAATCAGTTTTATATGCCCTCTCATTTTTTTGAAAGTGAATTTATTTTACACTCAAACTTTTTTTTATAACACCGCTTTCAGCCAGGGCTGTTTTTGTTTATAACGTTATCCTTTTGTTTTGTTTTTCTGTTTTGGTTATATCATTCTCACTTTTTAATGTTTTCACAACTGTAATCATCCTTCATAATTTCATATTTTTCATAAATATTTTTATAGAATGGTTGCTTTGCATATGGTCAGATGAGTTGTATTTTAAACCTATCATGTCAGGATGTCGTGGACAAATGGAATCTTTTTAGGTCAGAAAGAAAGGGATTGCTGGGAATGATAAAAGGGTTGGGACGCACGCGGGCAGTTCAGTCTAGAAAAACTGTTAAGGTTGTGGACATTGCCAAGCAGAGACATCACCCATGGAAACTGGAAATGGAGGTTTGGGTTAAACAAATGTAAAATGCAATAAACAAGGAAAAGTGAACAAGGAAAAAGGCAATCGAACTAATTGAGTTAATATGATATAATTATTTTCAGGCCTCAGTTGTATTATGATAAAAATGTTCTAAAAATGACTCTATTCCCAAGAGGAATATTACTAACTTTTAAAACCAAAACATTTACCTGTTAAAAATACTTCAAATTGTTTTTCTTCTATCTTAGTTGTAGCATATATTAATTATTGTGTTATACCCAAGATAGGTAACTGAGGCTTTTAATTTTTAGAGTTTGATTTGAGTCTTTATTGGTAAACATTTTACAAGAAACTTGCACCAATTTTTTGTTTAATTGCATATCTTCCTTTCAAGGGTCCAGATTATAGACTCTACAAGAGTGAACCAGAGTTAACAACTGTGGCAGAAGTTGATGAATCTAATGGAGAAGAAAAATCAGAACCTGTTTCAGAAATGGAAGCTTCAGTTAAAGGTCAGAACTTGGGATGTGTTTTCAGACATTTTAGCAATAAATTCCATTTTCATGTTGAGCTAGTACATGAACAGTCCACAATCCCTTATCTGAAAACTTTGGAATCTGACAAGTTTTTTAATTCAGAAGGTTCATATATTTAAAAATGACATGACCCATAAACCATATATGATGTCACCTCAGCTAGGCATGAGGCAGCACCTTCTTTTAAACACATTGATATTTCTGGAATGTTCATCCTAAGTGGGATAAATCAGTTCCTGTGAGGTTTTACTGAGAAATAAGTTTATGACACACTTGTAAAAGGCTTTTCTTTTTGTGTTATTTTTTTATTTTTGGTTTTCTATTTAAAAATTATACATAATAAGAACAGACCTAGAGATAAGGAGCTATGGGTCAGACTGTTGGACCTCAAAGGGAGGGTGGGGATAAAAGGGAGAGATCACCCAAAGGACTTATGTGCATTCATATGAGCCTAACCAGTGGTCAAGGACAATAGGGGGGCGGGGGCATGAGTGGGGGATGGGTGGGGGATTGGAATGAGGAGTTGAGGACAAATATGTGATACCTTAATCAATAAAGAAATTTAGCCGAAGCCGGCTTGGCCCAGACCGGTAGCACATTGGTCTGCGGACTGAAAGGTCCCAGGTTCAATTCCTGTTGGAGGCACGTACGTTGGTTGCGGGCACATCCCCAGTGGGGGGTGTGCAGGAGGCAGCTGGTTGATGTTTCTCTCTCATCGAGGTTTCTGGCTCTCTATCTCTCTCCCTTCCTTTCTGTAAAAAATCAATAAAATATAAATGAAAGAAAGAAAGAAAGAAAAAAAGAAAGAAAGAAAGGAGAAAGAAAGAAAGAAAGAAAGAAAGAAAGAAAGAAAGAAAGAAAGAAAGAAAGAAAGAAAGAAATTTTAAAAGTAATAAAATAATAAGTGGTGATGAGAAAACTGGAAAAAAATTATACATAAAAGATTAAGGGCTGAAACAAATTTTTATAAAGTTTCTATAAAATGAATAAATTCCATGAAATAATACCATTATTCTTTTTGATGCTGATCGTTCTTCAGTATTGTAAAGAAAGAGGGTAGCAGGAAGGGGGCTATTCAGGATTAAAAATGTTGAAAATGCCAGATATAATGCAATGTTTGAACCTTGATTGGATTATGGTTTGAAGGAAAATTCTGTAAAGAGATTCTTGGGATAATTATGGAAATATAAATATATTCTAGATAGTATCTAATAGTAAGTAATATTATGATATTGTGGTAATGTATGAGAATGTGTTATGTGAATATTGAATCACTTAGAAGAATATTTGTAAGTTATTCTCATTTAAAACTAGTTACTTTTCTTCAAAATTTAAAATTTCTGCCCATCAGTCAAAACCGGTTTGGCTCAGTGGTAGAGTGTCGGTCTGCAGACTGAAAGGTCCCAGGTTCGATTCCAGTCAAGGGCATGTACCTTGGTTGCGGGCACATCCCCAGTAGGGGGTGTGCAAGAGGCAGCTGATCGATGATTCTCTTTCATCGATGTTTCTAACTCTCTATCCCTCTCTCTTCCTCTCTGTGAAAAATCAATAAAATATATTTTTTTTAAAAAGAAAAGAAAAGAAAGAGACCAACTGGAAATTAAGGACATATAGGTAAATCACTTAAACCTTCCCAGCTACTTTCTGTCATCTGAGAGATGTGAGAGGATTACATTAAGGTACTAAAAATGTGAATGTTTCCTGAAGAAGCAGAGAAGCAGCAGAGGGCTAATGCAGACTGACTCCAGCCATGCTGCTGCTGAGCTCTGTGGACTTGAGGAAGCAAATAACCCGTAAGAATCTATGATCGATTAGGGGTACTGAAGTTTTTAAATATTTTTTATTGATTGATGAGAGAGAGAGAGAGAGAGAACCATTAATTTATTGCTCCACTTATTTATGCATTCATTGGTTTATTTTTGTATGGGCCCTCACCAGGGGATTGAACCCACAACCTTATGGTATCAAGACACTCTAACAAACTGAGCTACCCAGCCAGAGGATTTTTAATATCATCTTTTAATTTGTAGGACGTTATTTCTAAATCTAACCCTAAATTTATCTGGTAATATCATTGGCTAGCTTATGAGCTAGAATCTTATCTAATAAAAGAATAATATGCAAATTGATCATACCTCTGCTACACCCACCAGCCAATCAGATTGAGTATGCAAATTAACCCCAACCAAGATGGCTGCAGCCACAGAGAGCTGGAGGGAGGCTTGGGTTTCCCAGGCAATGGAAGAAGCCAAGCTTTCCGCCTGCCTTAGCTGGCCTAAGCCTCCACTCAAGGCTACAAAGTTTCAATTATAGAAGGTAAACAAATCCAAACAGAAATGGCTGCAGCCATGGAACAAGCAGGAGGCTTGGCTCCCCTCCAGGCTACAAAGTTTCAATTGTAGAAGACACATAAATCCCACATACCAGGCCCTCCACTTGGGTCACCGGGGGGTGTCGCCAGCCTGCAAACCACCACAGGCCCCTCACCCAGGTTGCCCATGCCCCAAGGGACACCCTTCAGGGCAAACCAGCTGGCCCCCACCCGTGCACCAAGCCTGTATCTATCTAATAAAAGAGTAATGTGCAGATTTACCATCACTCCAACACAAGATTGCTGCTTCCATGTGGTCAAAGATCCTGCCCCCCTGTGGACACAAGATGGCCAACAGGGGAGGGCAGTTGGGAGGGACCAGGCCTGCAAAGGAGGGCAGTTGGAGGTGATCAGCCCTGTAGGGGAGGGCAGTTAGGGTGACTAGCTCGCAGAGGAGGGAAGTTGGGGGCAAACAGGCTGGCAAGGGAGCAGTTAGACATCAATCAGGCTGGCATGGGAATAGTTAGGGGATGAGCAGGCTGACAGGCAGAAGTGGTTGGGGCAATCAGGAAGGCAGGCAGGCGAGCAGTTGGGAGCCAGCAGTCTTGGATTGTGAAAGGGTCCCAGATTGGAGAGGGTGCCGGCTGGGCTGAGGGACACCACCACCCCATCCTCCCCGCCCCCCCCCCTCCCCCCCGCCACGAATTTCATGCACTAGGCCTCTAGTAGGTAATAGAAGGCTAGTACATTTTCCCTGGCTCTTTCCAAACAATAAATTTGTATTATGATTTTAAAAGCCTCAGAAATCAAGGATGTAAAAAAAAAAACAAAAACAAAAAGCCATGTTATGTGAGAGATGACTCCTATTTTAATTTTTAGGTTCCCACTTTCCTGTTGGAGTGGTGTCTCCAAGAACAAAGTCACCAACACCCGAATCCTCGACAATAGCCTCATATGTGACCTTAAGGAAAACGAAGAAGATGGTGGATTCAAGAACGGTATTTAGCTAGAAATTAATTTCTAGAAGGAGTCTGACACTTCTAAGAATTTCCTTGGGGGGAGTGATAGACGTGTCCTGTGGTCACCCAGCGAATGGGTTTCCAAGCTAGCCTGAGTTTGCAGGGCCTCTCACCTGGGGTGGATTTGGAGTTTGCCAGTCCTCTGGCTACTCTGCGAAGTGTGAGTTGGGATTGGGAAATAAATCCTGTGTTTCACACTTCCATCTGAGATCATTGAATTCAAACTGGCTCCAAACCAGGCTGGTAGTTTTAGAAATTTGAGCTGCAAAAGAACTTTTACTTTGCAAAGTCTCTACTTACTTGGTGTGAGATAATTTTAAGCTATAAGAACAGACTGAATGGTATGACAAAGAAAAAGGTCTATGGTTATCTTTGAAAGATATTAAAGTATAGCTACCCAGTATATGACAAAAAAAATATGACAAATTATATATAAGAACTATCTTTTCAATTAATACAAAATTGTAAAGATCTATAGGAATAATTAATGTAGAATAAAATAATAGCTATGTGTCAATATTAACAGTAATCATGATTCTATAATACTATTATTTGTTCATAGAGAGAGAAATATCCTTACTATTTTTTTTTAATATACTTTATTGATTTTTTACAGAGAGGAAGAGAGAGGGATAGAGAGTCAGAAACATCGATGAGAGAGAATCATCAATCAGCTGCCTCCTGCACCACCACACCCCTCCCTCCCCCACACTGGGGACGTGCCCACAACCAAGGCACATGCCCTTGACCGGAATTGAACCCGGGACCTTTCAGTCCGCAAGCTGACGCTCTATCCACTGAGCCAAACCAGTTTCGGCTACCCTTACTATTTTCTTTTCTCTTTCTCCTCTCTTTTCATCATAGACTGTGCATCACCAATTATCTATTAAGGTTAAAATAACTTGCCTTTCTGGTGTTATATAAGTGACATTCAAAACCTTCACTTTTGATTTTGAGGAGAAAAGAAATGCATTTTGTTTCAACATACTTTTCCAAAGTCACTATAATTATGTATTCATATGTTTATTCTTTAATTTAAAGGAAAGACCAAGGAGTGCAGTGGAGCAGCTGTGTTTGGCGGAAACTACTCGACCTAGGATGACTGTGGAAGAACAAATGGAAAGAATAAGGAGGCATCAACAAGCATGCTTAAGGGAAAAGAAGAAAGCATTAAACGTTATTGGTGCTTTAGATCAGTCACCCTTACAGAGTCCTTCAAACTTAAGGGATAATCCATTCAGGGTTATTACCCAGGTATATCAGTTCCTTTTAATCATTGTGTGAAAATCTAGTATCACTTGAATCTTAGAATCATAGTTACATGTTTCCTGGGTTTTCACGTGTCTGCTGTATGGATATTTATTTTCATTATTTAACTGGTATAATAATAAGCTAGGACAGCTTAGTATAGTGGAAATTGCCCTGTGTTCAAAAACCAAAGCTTGTGTGCTTTTGCACCAGCAGTGGACTTAATCTCCTCTGCTATAACTCAGGTAATGATCCGATGTGTCCCCTCTCCCCCACAGAGATACCAAGAAGATAAAAGTGCTTTCAGCAAATGTAAAATGCCATGCAGGTTACCAAGAGAGTCCCCAATTCCCCTCCCAATAAAATGTGTATGACTCTGTGGCCTAATTTCACATGACCTAAATTAGAGCCGGAGAGAGCTTCTAAATTAAAGCTCTGCTGTTCATCGCATTTCAACTTCAGTCTCGTAAACTGACAACCTTTCATTCCTTATTCTTTGTTTGTTTGTTACCCTGTTTAATAAAGCAGAGCGTAGTAGCTTCAGTTTGATCTATCCCCGATAGTAGACATGGATCAGCTGAAAGTGCTTCCCTGTCTTCGTAGAAATTTCCTTTTCATCTAACCAAGAGCAGGCATCACTGCTGGAGAGTCAGCTGATTAGCAGTTGAATAACTGCAGTCTACAAATTACAAAATGGTTGATTTTAAAAATAAGAGAAATGAGGTTTGGCTCAGTGGATAGAGTGTCGGCCTGTGGACTCAAGGGTCCCAGGTTCGATTCCGGTCAAGGGCATGTACCTTGGTTGTGGACACATACCCGGTGGGGAGTGTGCCAGATCGATGTTTCTATTTCTAGCTCACTATCCTTCTCCCTTCCTCTCTGTAAAGAATCAATAAAATATATTTTTTTAAAATAAAATTAAGAGAAATGAGGATGAAGAAGTGTGTGGAATACTGCCTTTTGTTAGTATGCTATATATTAATACCTAAATAGTTAATATGTAAGTGATGTATATAAGTATAGTGATATATATTAAACAGATCTTGTTCCTGTTGATTTTCATATTGAGTGAAGATCTATTGAAATAGCTTTCTTTGGAAATCAGCAGGTGCCATCTCAATGGCTGCATAGTGTGACCCTAAGACTGCTCTGTGTCTTTTGGACAGACTCGAAGGAAGGATGATAACAGTAAGGACCCGGACACTGTCATTAGAGAAAATGACGTAAAGCCAAACCACGAAACTCCTGCAGAGGAAATTGTTCGACTAAAAGAAGCTGAACCTCAAAACACAGATTTCAGCGAAGAGGTACAGAGCTTATTTTTGGACAGATAATTCTAAAGGGTCGGGGTAGGTTTTTGAAGATGAGATCAGTTGTATTAAGGATGCAAGTATTGTTTCATTCTGCCACAAAAGGCAATGAAAAGATCTAAGTAAAATGATCAGTTTTATATAATTTGATTAATTTAAAACTTCAAAGCATGGCCAATCAAGGCTGGACTAAATTGCTGCAGGCCCAATTAAATTTGGACTTGTGTATCCCAAAACAACTAAAGCAATGTGCTTCGTCCCTTTGGGCAAATGACTTTTCATGTTAGTAATAAAGAATGTTGAGGCAGCCAAAACCAGTTTGGCTCAGCGGTAGAGCATCGGTCTGCGGACTGAAACGTCCCAGGTTCGATTCCTGTCAAGGGCATGTACATTGGTTGCGGGCACATCCCTGGTAGGGGGTGTGCAAGAGGCAGCTGGTTGATGTTTCTCTCTCATTGACATTTCTAGCTCTCTATCTCTCTCCTTTCCTCTCTGTAAGAAAAATCAATAAAATGTATTAAAAAAGAATGTTGAGGCATTTTAGATCTTGCTCCTTGGCATGTCAGTTTGATGCAAATAAACTCTTATAAAAAATGTTTTTAATGTTAATATTTTTAAGATAACCTGAACCTACATTTGTATTTCAGTAAGTATTTGACAGTATATAATTTTTTAAAACTTTTATTTGGTAATTATTTTAGATTTACTACTAAATATAGATATGGTATGAATGCCTTAAAAAAGAAAACTTTCTTCTCTATTCTGTAGTTTAAAAAAACAGAAAATGTTTTATACGAAACACTTCTCAAGCCTGAACCAAATGGCGTAAATTCTGAGGAAGTGACGGATAAAGGAAGAAACAAAGAAAACATGCCAGAAGATGTTTCATGCAGGTAATAATTAAGGGAAACAAACAAATCATTCATATAACTGCTTAAAAATGGTAAACTTCAGAGTCAAAAAGTCTTGTATTCCGGTCCCAGCAAGCTATATACCTACTTACGGTGCAGTTTTCTCTCTTAGAAGAATGGGGCTAATAAGGTATCTGTTTCACAAATGTGTTGTAAGGGTTAAAAAAGAAAATACAGCCGAAACCAGTTTGGCTCATTGGGTAGAGCATTGGCCTTCGGACTGAAAGGTCCCAAGTTCGATTCCGGTCAAGGGCATGTACCTTGGTAGCGGGCACATCCCCAGTAGGGGGTGTGCAAGAGGCAGCTGATCAATGTATCTCTCTCATCGATGTTTCTAACTCTCTATCCCTCTCCCCTCCTCACTGTAAAAAATCAATAAAATATATTTTAAAAAGAAAGAAAAGAAAATACATGTTTAGCACTTAACACTGTGCTTAGCACCTAAGAAGTAGTTAATGCCTTTTTAAATTTATTTATTTTTAAATATATTTTTACTGATTTCAGAGAGGAAGGAAGAGGGAGAGAGAGATAGACATATCAATAATGATGAGAGAGAACCACCTATTGGCTGTCTCCTGCAAGTTCCCCACTGGGGACCAAGCCCACGACTGAAATCAAACCTGGGACCCTTCAGTTTGCAGGCCGACACTCTATCCACTGAGCAAAACCAGCCAGGATAATACCTTTTTTTTTTTTTAGAAGAGCAAGCAGTGAAATAAGGAAGGGCATAGAAGCCACAGGAGAGCCCAGATTGGGCTGCTTTGGCTCACTGGGAAGTGGGAGAAAGGGGAGCCTTAGAGACAGGTTCAGGGGGTGAGCCCAGGATACACTAATGCTGCCCATTGACTTAAACTTCTGGTTTAAGTCTCCTGAGGTCCCTTAAAGATTGAGGGATAGTGCCTGTGGGGAAGGAATAGGGGGAATAAAATGGCATGGGTATGCTCTCTGCAGGGGGAGCGCCTTGATACCTTTTCTTTAGATGCCAACAGGCACATAAGCTATAGCCAAGTAATGATAGACATTGCCTTTGTAATGACAGACATAGATCAAAAGAAGTCTAAGTTGTTTGATAAGTAAGTGTTTCAACAATTATGGTGCTTTGCTATTTATTTTTTTTAGCTGTGTTTGTTAGCTAGCATCTTTAAGTGCATATGCTCAGTGTCATCCTCCATTTAAAAAGTTACCAGTGTTAGAAAAGAGAAATGCTATGAATTAGTGTTATTAGCAATGCCTTATATTTCAAATTCAATTCTGCTATTCACTGAAGACATTGAACAAAATATTTGGCAAAAGCTGATAAGAAAAACATCTCTGCTGATTTTTTGTTAATAGGCATAGATGGAAACACACCCAGTATAATGAGTATACATACAATAGACAACAGTATGGGGACAGCCAGAGGGAAAGGGAGGGGGGGAGGTGGAAGAGGCAAAGGGGGTAAGTGGGGATGGAAAGAGACTTGACTTTGGGCAATGGGCACATGGTGCAGGTGCAGGTATTTCATTGAGTTGTGCACTTGAAACCTAATAATGGTATCCAATATTACCCCCAATAAACCCAGTTTTTAAAAATCTATGAGTTCAGCCTGGCTGGTGTTGCTCGGTTGTTGAGTATTGACCCATACACCAAGAGGTCACCAGTTTGATTCCCAGTCAGTTCGCATGCCCTTGTGTGGGCTTGATCCCCAGTAGGGGGTGTGCAGGAGGCAGCCAATCGATGATTCTATCTCATTGATGTTTCTTTCTCTCCCTCTCCTTTCCTTTCCAAAAATCAACTAAAAAAAAAAACAAAAACAAAAAACAAACACATTTTAATAAATTAGAAGAAAAATTAATTGCATTCTGTAATAAATTTTAAAACATCTATTTTCATTAGCCCTCAAGATGAGACACAGATCACAAATCATAAGTCAGAAGGCCATCCTGAAGAAAATGCAGAGGACAATATTGAGGAGCAGGAAGAAAGTGTTGAATCTTATCAACTAACTCCTGAGGCTTCTAAAGAGAACCAAACAACAACAGGTAGATATTACACATTTCATGGTTTTCTCGCCAACGCTTCCTCGGACCTCTGCACCTGTTTCCCATGTAAAGGTTTTAGCAAGAGAGACGCTTAAGTACCCTGACTACGGATCCATCAACCTTTGCCTCCCACAAGCACCTTCAGGAAGGATGCCGCTGAGAAAGGAGGAAAGGGTGACCCCTGCCTAACCAGCTAGGTACCCTCAGAGGCTGTCCTCAATTGGGATCATTTTTTTATTTTGGTTTTGCTTTTAATCTTAACACATACCATAAATTCTTTTCTAATAAGAAGATTCTTCAAAACCTGGAAAATTTATCTGTTAGGGTCTCTTAGAGGAGGTTTTCAGAGTGTTCACAAACCTGCCACTGCAGAAACTGGACGACTGAATGTCTAAGTTGGTAAAATGGATGTTTGGCCTCTACTGCAGTAATGGGTTATTACCCACATCTGGGCTTTTTGATGAGAAGAAGACTGTAATCCATAGCTAAAGATTAAAGATTTCTGTGCTATTCTTCGTTCACATTTTTTAAGCTCTTCACATCTTTTTTCTCTCTTTTCTTCATTTAAGACTTTTGGGGGGGTAAGGGGGATCATACCACTAATATATATTATTGGCTCAAAAAACTATTCCTAGTAATCCTCCCCCTCCCCCACCACCCTTCTGATCACTTTGCAGAAGGGTAGGTACAATGAAATTCAGTTATTCGGAATTGTCCTTAGATAAAGCATTTTTTTTTTTTGCATTTGATATGCATGTAACATGCAAATTTATCTCATCATGATCCTTTGTAACTAATAGTAACTGCTCTCTCTTCCTTTGTCTCACCATCACTTACAAAGTGCTGTACCCTGGAATTCTCACTTATGCTTTCATTGTCAGTGACAATTTTAGTTATTGTTGTGGTCCGTCTGGGTCAAAGTGGTGTTGTGACTATTAAAACCACAATGTTTAAACTGTGGTTTATACCGCATGGAACTAGAAAGGCTTTTAAAAGTAATTCACTGCTAGACACCTGGAAATTGACTTCAAAGCAAAAAAATGAAAAAAGTCCTTATAATACTATAATAAAGGGTAATAGGCAAATTGTTCCCTCCACCAGGATATGGACTGGAGGCCCCTCCCCACCAGCCTGGCCCAATCGCCCTGCCAGCCGGTGGACCTCACCCGTGCACGAATTCGTGCACCAAGCACCAAATTTAAAAAAAAAAAAAAATCCCATTTTTATGAGATACAATTGACATAACACTATGTAAGTTTAAGATCTGCATGGAAGAAAAAGTTTAAACCGTGTTCCAGAGACATTTCATGCCGAATACTCCTTCCCAGATTAGAAAGTAACAAACCAAATGCAGCTAGCTATTCCTTCCTTCTCAAAACATGTTCTCCGCAGCATTAGATTTCCTTCCCCGGGTGTCTTAAAGATGTTTCTCTTCTCGTGTTTTCTTGGTGTTTCAGTGAAAAGCCTGCCCTCGTCTCCGGAGTCCTCCGCGTCCCCGGGCCCGCCCGCCCAGCCGCAGCTCCCGGAGGGGTCGCATTTCATGTGTGTGTAGCCTCGGACCAAGTACGTGGTTTCCCTTCGCGCTTTCCCCTTGGCCCTCCTCCTGACCGGCGGGAATTGTATTCATTTGCTGGTTTAGGGGATAAAAACGGAGATTAAGCGCGGGCCAGGCCTGGGGATGGTTGGCAGAGCAAGTCTTGGAACCACAAGCAGTACTCACGTTTCCACCGCTGGCCCTTCCAGGGATTGGCCGTCTTCCAGCGTCTCCCAGCATTTTCCCTGTCTCTTATTTCATCTGTGGAAACAGCAAAACCTGGCGGGGTCGGCCTACACCAGCACAGGCCTCCCTGTGTTTTGCAGCTGTGTTCCCATGGAGTGTTCCTTTCCATAGCCGGATCGCAGAAGTCTGTTGAAGTCATTACATGTCGAGGGAGTAATGTTTCTTAAGTTAGTTTGACTTATCTACCGCATTGGGAGTTTGTTCATTATTTCAAAGGACAAAGAAATGTTTATGGGATAGTCTAATAGATGGAATATTAAAATCTTTAAGATACATCAGAAATGATTTCTAAATTTAAGGGAAAAAATGTTTTTAATATATTTTATTTTTTTACAGAGAGGAAGAGAGAGGGATAGAGAGTTAGAAACATTGATGAGATACATCGATCAGCTGCCTCCTGCACACCCCCCACTGGGAATGTGCCCACAACCAAGGTACATGCCCTTGACCGGAATCAAACCTGGGACCTTTCAGTCTGCAGGCCGATGCTCTAGCCACTGAGCCAAACTGGTGTGGGGGGGAGGGGGGGGGGAATTTTAAGACAGGGAAGTAGTTACTCAAAAAGCCATGGGCAGGGAGAGAGAGAAAGCCTTCCTCGGAGTAATGTTCCTTCAACCACAGTTTCAGAACTAAGACTAAAACCTTAAATTACTTAAACAGCACTAAATGCTACCTGCTCTTCTGTGCAAGTAGATATACGCTTATTAACTTTTCGGAAGATCAGTGAGATACGGAAGGAGCATACTATGCCCTTTTATGCATTTTTTCCCCTCCACATATTTACCAGATGTAGTAATTTTTGTGCCGTCGGGTGGCCGCCAGTTTCTGTCACACAGTTATAAGCAGCGAAAACACCGTGAGACCTGAGCATCGTTACGTTGCCTGGTTTCCAGATTCTCAGAGTAAACGGGTGCGGGCACTAACCCGGCCATGTTTGTTCCGTGAGCGTCTTTTCTGGAGCCCACTCACTCCGTTCACACCTGTCGGCAGCAGCTCTGATCTGCGACCTTCCTCTCAGCCAGAGGGGTTTGTGTTGAACCGTCTTGTCCCGTTTGTAACTTTTGTTTGAGATTGTGTCTATCTGGAGCCCTATCGGTACAGGATTGACATCTTTTTCTGGAGTCACAAACCATCGATCGGTTACAGTCTGACCTGTGCCTTTGCCTCTGTCGCTCGTGAATTTAAACTTTTGATATGTTGGGAAGGGACAGCTCTCCCCAGTGACAGAATAACATCCAGCAGAGGAATAGTAAACATCACACCCCTCTGATTTCCCCTGCCTGAAGGTGTGGTCGGGGGGCCTCCGTCCGTCTCAGTGGAGAAATGTGCATTAGAAGCCGTGCTCCTTGTCTTTCGGTGCGATAAACGGGGTCCAGCTCCTTGTACGCGGGCCGTTCTGGTACTAACAAGTGTTCAGTAAAAACTCGAGCACATTTCCAGGCTCCTTAAGTTGTTGTTATTGGGTTCTGTTTTGTTTTACTTCCGTTTCCAGAGCCATTAGCATTACGCACTCGAATGAGGTACAGTGGTTGCCTGATGTTTTCCAGTCCGGTGGCACGCAGCCACCGCGAACAAGTGACGCTCAACTGTGGTTATTTTATTGTACATCTTTGTGTTGTGCCTGTGTCATCTTTCCAGGCTAGTCGTTCTGACAGAACGTAGGAAAGTTTTACACACGGCACTGCTATGCAGGCAGCTCATTGGATCAGTACATGTGGAGTTATGCAAATATTGGCTCATTTTTTGCTGATCGTTTGGATTCTGAATTGCTCTTTTAATTGCCTTATGTTTCTTTGCTTTGTGAATTGAGCTTTTGGACGTGAGGAGAGAGTGTCCTTTAATTGTATTAGGTTTTTTGGGTTTTCAAGGCCATGCTTCTATTGTTACGGAATGTCAGCCTTCATTGCTTTAGGACAGTGTTTCCCAAACTTTTGACATGTGTGTACCCCTTCTCTGATTTTCGTAACGCTGGGTACCCCTCGTACTCAGGAGAACGTAGAATGAGGCGCAGCTAAGCACGGTGCAGTGCATATCCCCACCAAACTCCGGTGCAACCCGTACCCCCAGCAAACTTCCCGTACCCCTGGGGGTACATGTACCACACTTTGGGAAACACTGCTTTAGGAAATGGCCATTCGTTAACTTGCAGGTGTCAAAGTAAATTTCCCTCTCTTTGTTTTTCAGCTACATTGACTTGTGCGGAAGCTATTCAGACCCAAGGACCCAGGCCTTCGGCGATGTGAGAAGATATTGTACAGTATATTTTAAATCTATGAAATTCATAGTTCTGATGCTTTTGGCCACAGAGCATCGTTTTATCACTTCTGGAAAATGTTTATTCCAAAACAGCTTTAATGGCCCATACGTGCACTCCGTAATCTCAAGGTTATTCTTCTGACACCAGCTTGCTGCTATGATTTCAGAGCACATAAGTCAAGGTGCTTTTTCCTGTGTGGTCCACCGCCAGCGCTCACTTAGTTGCTGATTTCCAGGTTTGGGTGTTTCTAAAGTCTCGGTGGAGCTAGAGTTCCTTTTTCTTTTCAGTACATCATTTTGGTTCTTTCCGATGAAGCTCATTTTGTTTCGTGTTTTCCTTCCATTTTGGCTACTGCAAGGCTTTGTTTCTCACTTGATTTGTAAAAATTTTATATATATATATATATATTTAAAATGTGCCATTTTATTATTGCTAAGTGAAGTATGTCTCGTTTCCTGCTATGATTATTTCTCATTCAGATTGCAATGTCAGCAGTTACTGCCACACTCTTGTCAGCTTAAACACAAATGTTATTGCTTACTGTTTCTTGAAAAAAACAATTAAAAAATGTGGGTATTTTGAAGTACTGGGCTTATACTTCGTTGGAATCGATGTGTACAGCAATAAGCAGGTTTTCAAATCCAGTACTTAGTTTGTGTACAAATGTAATTATGTTCATTGTGTATATATTATACAATGAGCACATGTAATGTATTAAAGGCTACTTACTATTGTTTAAATGCAAATGTTCATATCTCATTTCTTTTTTTATCATGTTAAATAAATGTTGATGTTCTTAAATCACTTGTGTTAGAATTTTTGCTTTTTCCATCTGAAATTGCAAACCTGAGGACCAAGAGACTTCTAGAAGCAGGGCGGGGGGAGGTAATGTTCATCTTATCATTATAGAGAACATCAAATAGGACCTTTTTCGTCATGGAGCCCAGCCTCCCCTGTCAGGTTGAGGAACTTGAGGCCCAAATCGCTAAATTGCTTTGGCCACAGTTACATTTCATACCTTTCATTTAGTGACAGGATTTGGGCCAGAATACAGTTTTTCTGACTTGTCCTCTAAGGCCATCAGCTCAACACCACTGGGAAAATTTAGTTTTCTGAGGTTTCCCCACCTCGTGCTGTGGAAACCAGCTCCAAGCAGCTGTATCTCCCTCTGCTCTGTGGTTTGGACTTGGGGGGGCTGTGGGGGGGTAGGGAAGGGGGCAGTACGGAGCGGAGGGTCATTCTGTTTCATCCTAAGTGGGACCCTCAGAGATCGTTTTCTCTTACAATTCATTCTTTGCAGATGTTCACGCTCTTCAGAATCAATTACGCTTCCTTCCCTCCGTAACCTTTTGTTCATGCTCTATATTGTTCCCAGAGTGTGAGGAAATCTGATGCTTTTGGATTCCTGTATAAAATGGCTGAAACTAAATTGGCAGCGGTCAGTCTTCCTTTTTTTTTTTTCTCCATGCTATATTAAAGAGGATTTAGATTTTATTCAAAACGCAGATGTATAAAATTCATCTGCTCCAAACGAAATCACTCAAAAAGAAATGCAAATAGATACACTCTATACTGTAGGAGGTCAATGAAAAGAGAGGTTAAATGGGAGGATAGCATTTGGCTCTCTGCGTCCATTTTAACATGTTTACACAAAGATGACACGCACAGGCCTTCTCAAGGGAAACCGTCAACAAATCATTTTTTTCCCTCTAGCTGTGATATGGTCATTGTCAGAGATCTTTTGTCAGTGTGTCAGGGAGAGTTTCTCCTTGGTTTTCGTTTGGGACCTTTTGTGGGGCTTTTTATGTTGGATTGTGTGTGTTTTGCTTTGGTCTCATTAAGCACAACTTTTTTTTTTTAACTATTTCACGAAGGAAACATATTCTATTCTGGGGTACCTGGAAGCCTCCGGAGTTAGGAGAAAGCAGCATAAAGGAACTGTGACTCTTGTCAACATTTTAGAAAGCCAGGTGCTAACTATGTCTTTGCAAACAGTAAGTCAGCACAGGCTTGTTAAGAACACATCACTGGCTTTGTTTGGCTCAGTGGGTAGAGCATCGGCCTGCGGACTCAAGGGTTCCAGGTTCAATTCCAGTCAAGGGCATGTACCTTGGTTGCTGGCACATCCTCAGTGAAGGGTGTTCAGGAAGCAGCTGATTGATGTTTCTCACTGATGTTTCTTTTTTTGGTTTTTTTTTTTGGATAGAGAGTTAGAAACATCAATGAGCCTAAACCAGTTTGGCTTAGTGGATAGAGCGTCATTCTGCAGACTGAAAGGTCCCAGGTTCGATTCTGATCAAGGGCATGTACATTGGTTGCGGGCACATCCCCAGTAGGGGGTGTGCAAGAGGCAGTTGGTCAATGTTTCTCATCTATGTTTCTAACTCTCTATCCCTCTCCTTTCCTCTCTGTAAAAAATTAATAAAATATAATTTTTTTAAAAAGAAACATCAATGAGAGAAACATCGATCAGCTGCCTCCTGCACACCTCCTACTGGGGATATGCCCACAACCAAGGCACATGCCCTTGACCGGAATCAAACCTGGGACCCTTGAGTCCACAGGCCAACACTCCATCACTGAGCCAAACCAGTCAGGGCTCTCATTGATGTTTTTAACTCTCCCTCCCTTCTCTATAAAAAAAAAAATCAATAAAATATATATATATATTTTTAAACCACATTATTGGGCCTCACCCCTAGCATTTCTGAGTTAGCCAGTCTGGAGCGTGGTCCAAAACTGGGAGTTCTAATTCTAACAAGTTCACAGGTAATACTCATGCTGATGCTCTGGGCACACTCTTTTGAGAATCACTCTGTATTGTATGTTGAGTTTTCTTTTATTCATGTGTAGTGGAATAAAATTGGGGTAAGTTCAGGAGCTTTTACTTATTTACAAATATGCACAGAGTATAGAAGAACTAAGAAAGATAATGGAACAACTGTGGCCCAAAGGGATGAGGCGAGAAGGAACTGGAGAACCTTATTTTATTTTCCAGAGGCAAAGCCAGCCCTGGTGTAGGCAGCCCCGCAGGGACTGAGCCAGGAGAATATGACAGCACTGGCTTAAGGCTCCCGTTTCTTGCTCAGACTCCCATTGGCTGCATTCGGTGGGATGCAGAGGTCACAGGAGTTGTGTTGGGGGTGACTGGGAACCCTTGGGGGTTTCCAAGACCTTTTCAGGAGAGCCTTGAAGTCAAAATGATTTTCATAACAACACTATGATGTTATTTGCCTTTTTCACTTTCATTCTCAATAGTGAAGCGTGGTGTTTCCCAAAGGCTCTCTGACCTGAGAGATTTCACCAGATTGAAGTGGAGAAGCAGAGATGCAAATCTAGTTGTCTTTGTTAATTCAGACAGCAACGAGATTAACAAAGATGGAAAGCAATGTTTTTTATTCAGAAGTGTGCTGTTCATTCTAATATGTAGTGGTTTTATTGCTGTTATTTTAGATGAACGAGTAAATATTTTAACACCTCTCAGCTTTAATTTCTACTACAGTAAAGACCAATAGATGTAACCCACAAAACACGCTACTTAGAGTCGATCATTGTTAAACATGTGAGAATCCTGAGACCGGAGATTTGAGAAATCCCATGTAGTTCTTACTGGTCAGCCTCCTGTGGCAGAGCACAGCTGAAAAATAGCATATCCAGATCTAGAAGATATCAGCCCATCTTCCCAGTAAAATGCTGCTTGCTCTTTTTTTTTTTTTTTAATAAGGCTCACTTTTGTTGTTGTTGTTAATCCTCACCCAAGGAAATTTTTCCATTGGTTTTTATAGAGAAAGTGGAAGATAGAGGAAAAGACGGAGAGAAACATCCGTATGAGAGAAACACATTGATTGGTTGTTTCCTGTGGGAGCCCTGACCAGGCCCCCAGCAGGGGAGGAGCCTGCAACCAAGGTACATGCCCTAGACTGGAACCAAATTCGACCCTTTGATCCGCCAGCTGACGCTCTATCCACTGAGCCAAACCGACTAGAGCAGTGGTGGGCAAACACAGTCAACAGAGCCAAATATTAACAGTACAACGATTGAAATTTTTTTTGAGAGCCAAATTTTTTAAACTTGAACTTCTTCTAACCCCACTTTTTCAAAATAGACTCGCCCAGCCCATGGTATTTTGTGGAAGAGCCACACTCAAGAGGCCAAAGAGCTGCATTTGGTTCGTGAGCCAGTTTGCTGACCATGGGGGTAGGGCAAAAAAGCTCACTTTAAAAAAAAAAAAAAAAGTATTGCCGAAACCTGTTTGGCTCAGTGGATAGAGCATCGGCCTGCGGACCCAGGTTCAATTCCAGTCAAGGGCATGTACCTTGGTTGCGGGCTTAGCCCCAGTGGGTGGTGTGCAGAGGGCGGCTGATCAATGGTTCTCTCTCATCGGTGTTTCTGAGTCTCTCTTCCTCTCTGTAAAAAAAAATCAATAAAATATATATATATATATTTTTTTTTTTAAGTGGGTAAATGGAGATATATTATTCTATGTCAAAATGGAGAAGGACCCATGAAGAATAATTACATCATTATCTATTCAAATTGTATTATTTGAAATATGTGATTTATATGGAGACATTTGTGCTGTTTATAAGAAATTTCTATTCTCTGCCTATTAGCTGTCTGGTTCTGCCCAACATAGGAAAACGACTCACTCCTTTGTATTTGAAGGAACAGCTAGAGCTGCCTAAAAACTTATTGAGAATTTACCTAATTAGCAGATGCTCCAAGATTTGCAGTTTTGTTTTTTTGTTTGGTTATTATTATTATTTATTATTATTATTTTTTTTTTTTAGAAATAACATCTCAATTACATTCCTGCCAAGAGTGGTGGGTTGTGAGGCATCTGGAAACTGCCAAAGAGCAAGCCTGAGACAGACCTCGTGCTTGTCATACTCCTACTGAAAAGTGACAGGCAGGTGATGGAGTTGCTCTCTTTCTTTCTTTTTTTTTTTTTTTAATCCTCACCTGACGATATGTTTTTGTTTTAATATATTTTTATTGATTTCAGAGAAAAAGGGAGAGGGAGAGAGAGATAGAAGCATCAATGATGAGAGAGAATCATTGATTTGCTGCCTCCTCCATGCTCCCTACTGGGGATCAAGCCCACAACCGAACCTGGGACCCTTCAGTCCGCATCAGTTGCTTCCTGTGCAGGTGCCCTGACCTGGAACTGAACATTCCACCTGTTGGTGTACGAACAATTCTCCAACCAGCTGAACACCTGGCCAGGGCTGACATTGCTGGCATTTTAAACAAACAGGCCCCTAGCCTAGCCATGTCCCCCAAAACTGCCCATAAGCAAAGATGAGGGAAGCAATTCCTTCTAGAAAGGCCTCTGGTCTAACTTGAGTTTTACAAAGATATACAAGCTTTCAATAAACATTTGTCC